CAGTTTGATGGAAACTATTTCCAGACAATGCTTTTATGTATTTGGTGACCTGAGTAGGCATCACGTCCAACAACTTAATTAAACCGGTGGTGAAAACATTCATATTGATGGCAATAGTCCAATCGGTGGTGCAATGTTAATTTTGGTTATGATTCATCCAGTTTGATAGCGGTGGCCAATCTGGTTACCTTGAATTTATTTTTGGTGACCGGTTAATAGCAGGCCCCCAAAATATGCCATCAAACAGGCTTTTCCCCAGTTTTTGCCAATTTCCTCCCAAGGCTGGGTGGGGTGGAGGGGGGGGGGGGGGGGCACAAAGTTGGAGGGGAGGTGAAGTCCCCTCATAGGAAACTACACCCCGTTGATCTGTGCCACGACGTAAGCAGGCAGCGCCTGCATGGATCGGGCGTTATGGCGATATAAGGTAAATATATGCATATGTATATGTATGTATAACGATGTGGTGATGACCGTCTTTGACGTAGCGCTAGCACGCGCATGGTTAGGAGCCGGTCTTTCATGCGGAGGGCATGTTTGTACACCCACTTATGCTCGTGATAAGCGTTCGCGTTAGAAAAAAAAATGCACGCGTGCAGGCCTTTTCACCTCCCGCCACCGGAAATGTTTGGCGCGCCGTTAAATGCTCTGACGTCATTTTCCCGCTCTTCAAAAACCACACAGACCGCCAATTCAAACCGGCTTTGGTATCGTTACTGGAAAAAGAACTGTAGTTGGTTCTGACTCAGTATGTGACGACCATCATCCCGGCGAATGCGTTCTGTTGAGGTGAGAGTGGAACACGCCCGTCCAATGTATGCATTCTACGTGCATGTTTGATGCATGCAGTCTAAGTGCACGTTCGATGCATGCAGTTAACGCAGCATGTATGTAATATGTGCCTTAAAGTGGAAATGAGATATTGCGGCAGGGGAGCAAACTGCAATTACCAATATCAGCAACGTACTGGATCCAAGCCTAAACCAACTCCAAAAAAGATTTTGAGAGAAAAAAACAAGAATCTAGAAATGGCCAATTGGTTGTTGTGCTGACAGCAGATGCGTTGAGACGATCGGGAGCGCTTTTTTTGTTAATCATGTCCACTCCTCTAAGACATATTTAGGGCATGAAACGGCAACGCAACTTGAAAAACGTTTACACTAAGTGAACTATATGCATATGCCCAGGTTTTCGAACAATGTCCGGCGTGCCGGGACCCAAAGCCGACGGTGCACATTGGAGTTCCGCATCATTTGAGCATTCTGGTGGAAAATATCCGACAAGTATGATACAAGCGTCCTGCAAGAGCTGCCGACTGCCGCCAGCTCTCGCGCTGCGCTTAACTTCACCAAGTCGAGCTCGGTTTTTGATAGCACGATTGCGTACCTGTGGCTGTTTGGTTGTTGAGCGGTGCTGGCAAAGATCATGAATTAAAGCAGGATGCTTTCAAAGGTATGGGGGCTACGAAACTGTCCCCAAGTTGGGGGGGAGGGGGGAGCTGGCCATCATTTTTGCCAATTTTCCAGCGTACGCGCATAGGAAGGGCCAATGCAAGCAGATGAGATATATCTCTCTATCATTAAAAGATGTGTTCATCATTATCATTCATTACTATCTTCAGATGATCTGACCAGGTGTTAATCTGCATACTTCGGTGATGCAGCAGGCATTCGGTGATCCCAGGTTCACGGGACCGCCGACTGCTATTGCCTACCGCTGACCGAGATGAAGTGCCGTGCGGACGCTGCCGGCCCTTCTGATGCAAACTCGGCGTCCAGCGACGCTACGGCACCAGGTGGAACGGACTCGTTCACGCCGGCGGAACGGACGGAGGCAGCCACCAGCCGAACGACTTTCCCTACGCTTGGTGCACCGCATCAAGACTGATCCGGACTGAGCTATGTGATCGAAGGGCACCGACCGCTCCTGGGGTCGCCGGAGCTCGTCGGATCAGTCAACAGTCTGTGCACGAGCCGCCGGTAACGCCGCGCAGCATGCTACGTGACGCTGTGCTGGGCCGCGGCAGGAACGCCAACCGCAAGAGCGTCCATCAGCGTCTCTCTGCCGCCCTTGAGCTCTGCGGGGCAAAGGTTGCATGGCGGCTGGCCAAAGCGGCTGGACCCGATGGGCACAGCTACAGCACCGGAGATAGCCGTGTGTATAGTACTGGCGTATTGTCCTTTTGCATTGCTTTTGACCTGTTGCCTTGTCACCGTTGCATTTTTGCACCGATCTGCGAAAATTATGCCGGCAGTTGGAGCAAGAGTGCGATAGATATTATGATAATGATGATGTCACTGATTGGTTTAAGCACAAGCAAAGACGGTTTTTCATTTTTTGCTTGATTTGCACAATTCTCCAGATTTTCCATTCAACTCCAGTCATGGCTTAACTATGCAAGGCGCCGTTAGGAAATAGCATGGCGTTGGCCGGATATACGCATTCACCGCAATGAAACCTTGTTTTTGCGTTTTAATATTCGTGTGGGAAGAAACTTGCTCCTTGACTCCTTGAAATGCGCGTGATTATGGCCTGTGACAACCCAGACACAAAGGGAGCATCTGCGAAGCACAGTGCCGTCGGTCACCAAAACTGCGTTCTATCACTGTAGAAATGCGTGCAAGTTTGACAAAAAAGGCAGGTTGTCAATATTCCCCAACACACGATTTGGAGGCCTGATACCCATGGTCAGGTGACATCTGTCAGCTGTTTCCCCCCCCCCCCCCTGCCCCAGATTTGCAATGGACAGAGTATTTTGGGCACGACCTTCCTTGCGTCTCCTCTTTTTGCTCGGTCATTTTGCAGTTCGAGAGCCAGCCATGACTTAAAGGATCTATGTAACCGATCGGGCCTGCTTGTGACTTCGTGACAACACGTTTTTCGCAATTCACTCATTGATTGTATTTTTGGATTGTTTGCAGGACGTCCTGGGTATATTTTCAGATGGTCATGCCCAAATCGCTCGGCATTTCAATATA